TACCTCAGGTTTCTTATATGGCATGGACACTGTAAACTTACAACCTATTTACAATGAACCAATAGGAAAAAAGTTTGCTCACTATAATTGCTGTTGCATTGTACTTGGTCCTTGGGGGAGAGAGGAGTGAGGTCTCTCCCCTCATGTTGAGCAGGGTCTTTTAAAAATTTATGGACAACCCAGCAGAGTGTTTGTTATCTTATTCAAGGGTAAAATCTCAGGAGTAAAATATCCCTGACGCTACTTCTTAGACTGAGCCTTTTCACAAACTAAGTAACCAGTATAGTTTGGTAATAAAGCGAAAGTCCTAGTCCTTAAGTTTCTTTGAACCTTACAGAAATGGTAAACCAAAAATTGTAACCAGCGCAATGGAGAGGAGAGCTTAAATTTTTCTCTCCTGTATTATTTAACCCACCCATTAACAGTTTTTTGTTCACGCACTCATATTGATGTTGTTGAGGAGGGCTGAACACACACTTCATATTTTACTTATCATACCTATATACAGTTATCTAGCACACATAAACCATTTGAACTCCACTGTCGTGAATTCTGTCACAATAAACTTGGCAACAGGTCTGTGACATTCTGTTGTTTTTTCCTGTGTCATTCTCTCAAGTTTGCCAATGGTAAATGGGTTGGACTTGGATATCTGATTTCCACCATCTAAAATTGAAACAGAGGCTGCTGCTTTATGACATCTGTGGGATCATGAAATTGGAACATAACATTACTTTACAGAAGTGCTTAAATCAATGGCAACAACTGTGACATGGCAAATAACAAACTATGTAGACTTATTTGTGTAAAATTAACTATTGTTGAGTGTTGTTACATGAAATTGTAGCTTTGTGCCCGTAGCATCTCCATTGGAGCCAGTGGGGCTCGGAGGCTCAATTAGCATTAGCTGCTTTGCTAAAACTATCAAACACACAACACTGTTTTATATTTATAGAATGTTGCTCTCATGAGGATTTGATGAGGTTGCAGGTTTTATCTTCTTTAGACACAACTACCCTTAGATACAATGAGCAATGAGCAAGTGGGCACAGTGTGGGAAGGCAAGGGGGCAGTGATGGTTGGAAGTTGAAGAGCTAAACAACCCTACGAAAAAAGGTTACGTTTCTCCTCTGAGTCCTGCATCCAGGACAGTGGAGCCGACGTCCTCATATAGAGCATGTGAGGGGTCCTGGAGGGTCTTTCTCGTGTCCTCAGTGTCTGCTGCTCACACAGGCTACAATGGGAGTCTGAGTGGGTCTGGGTGGGAGTCCAAACATTTTAGAGCAGACCTTGACAGTGCACTGCAGACAGGTCTTGATGTAGTTTTTTTTTTTTTTTTTTAAATAGAGAATGTAATAATACTCTCAATGAAGGAGAAGCAAAATGTCCTTAGGATGTTCCTGCTGACACCAAAACTGTACTGTATTAATTGTACATACCAAGCAAAGTATAGGTCTGAAAAAACTGCTATTGTTGTAAAAAGTGCTGCAAGGTACCTGGGCATTAAAGATATCAAATGGGAGAGTTTTTATGAAGAGTTTAAGAACAGAGATAGATGTGAGCAGACAGCTTCCCAGCCCCAGTCATCTCAACAGGTATCAGGGCTACCTTCGCAAACTAAAGCTTAAACATTAACTTTCTGCAGTGGAATGCTAGAAGCTTGATAGCAAACAGGCAGGAACTCAAGAGATTTATATTTGAATTGGAGACCAAACCTGATGTGATATGTATTGTTGAGACATGGTTAAAGCCACATTTGAATTTTAATTTAAATGGGTATGTGTTTGAGCGGAATGATAGGATTGATAGTAGTGGAGGTGGATGTGCAACTTTCATTAAAGAGGGGATCCCCTACAGAGTTTTAGGTAAGGGTGATGGGTTAGAATATCTAGTTGTTGAAGTAAACGGACCACAATGTACTGGTGTTAGAAGAACTTATGGATATGAAAGGATTGGTCTGCATAAATGATGGGTCACCTACACGAATAGGGTTGACTGTGCAGTCTGTGTTAGATTTGACTTTAGTTTCTCAAGCTCTTGCAGATCAATTAATATGGGAAGTTTATAGTGAGTCAACAACTGGAAGTGACCACTATCCCATTTTATGCTGTCTTGGTAATAGGTATTGTAACTGTGCTTTGACCTTCTCTAAACGGTGGAATTTTAATAAAGCTGACTGGATGATGTTTAAATTTATAAGTGATCGAAACATGAGACAAGTTGAGATAAGTGATGATGTTGAGTTATTCAGTGAAAATGTTAGTGTAGCTATTGTTGATGCAGCAAAAGCTTTTATTGTGGAGTCAAGATCAGGAGGAAAAAGGTGGAAGCTGGTCCCTTGGTGGACAGATGATTGTACGCAAGCAGTGAATAGCAGGAACAAAGCCTTTAAAGATTTTAAGAATTGTTTGAACTTTCATAAGTTTGTGGAATACAAGAGAGAGCAAGCTAATGTAAGGAAAATAGTCAGGAAAGTCAAAAAGGAGTATTGGCAGAAATACTGCAACACTATAGGTAGACAAACGTCTATAAATGATGTGTGGAGAGTTGTTAAAAAAAATGAATGGGGTACAACAATCCTGGAACTATCCAGTTCTCAAAATGGTGAGTCTGTAGCAGTGAAAGATGAGACTAAAGCAACACTAATGGTTAGAAGTCTAGTTTAAGTTCATAGTAGTCTCAACTTGACTCATGAGGAAAGACTGAAAAGAGATGCAACAAAAAGTCAGTATCAGTATCTATTAGAAAATGTAGACGATGAGAATGACAGTTTGAATGTTGTGTTTTCTTTAAGTGAGTTGAAAAAGGCCATCAAAAAAGCAAAAGTTACGGCTCCAGGGAAAGACAGAATAAGCTATGCAATGTTAAATCACCTCAATAATGTAGCTCTTAGCACTCTGTTGGAGCTATTTAACAAAATATGGGAACAAGGGAAAATTCCAAGGAGTTGGAAGATGGCAGTAATTATTCCTGTTAGAAAGCCAGGTAAAGACACCTACAATAGCATCCAATTATAGACCAATTGCATTATCATCACACCTTGGCAAAGTAATAGAGAGAATGATTGTGGAGAGAATGAGTTTTTATGTTGAGTTGAGTTGAGTTTATGTTAACTTACTTTCTCCATTCCAAAGCGACTTTAGAAAAGGAAGGTCAACTATGGACTCAGCCATTAAGTTGGAGAGTGATATAAGAAAGGCCCAAGTGTGTAAAGAAATAGTTGCTGCTGTCTTTTTTGACGTAGAAAAAGCATATGATATGCTTTGGAAGAATGGGGTGTTAATAAAAATTCGGAAGCTTGGAATAGATGGTAAAATGTATAATTGGATTAAGGACTTCCTCAACAATAGAGAGATACAAGTTAGAATCAATGACAAATTTTCTGAATGTGTATTTGTAGTAAAATTAGGTCTGTTATTGATTATGGGTGCCTGGCCTATGGGTCTGCTTCAGAGTCTGAGTGAAAAAAAAAAACTTGACATTATTCAGAGTGCTGTGCTCAGGCTCTGCTCTGGAGCAATGAGAACTTCCCCTGTATGTGCGCTTCAGGCTGAACTTGGTGAAATGCCTTTTGAATTGAGGCGGCTGCGATTGTCATTGACATATTATGTTCATTTAAAAGGACATAGGGAAGATCATCCAACTAAGAATATCCTTATCCCAACATGAGAGCAGTCAAAAAGTAAAAGAGAAATGTTTGGAGTAAGGATGCAAGGAAATATAGAGGGAGGTGGCATGGCAAATTTTGAGTTTAGTCTATCTTGTCCAACAATTTCCCTGAGGTTTGCACCAAAGGGATCAATAAAGTTCTATTCTATTCTATTCTATTCTATTCTATTCTATTCTATTCTATTCTATCTGTTGCGTATCCACCACGCCCACTATGGTTGTTACCAGTTCCGGAGGCTGATACAACTTTACATGAGAGAATAAAGAATTATAAGGGAAATAGTGGACAGCTGGCTATGATGTATATAGATATTTTCTATAGATATGTTCAAATCTTTACAGATGGATCGAAACAGCCAGATACAGGGAAAGTGTCAATAGCATATGTGATTCCAGAATTTGACATAAAGAGTTTCTGATCATTTATCAGTGTATTCAGCGGAACTGATAGCAATTGTTACAGCGTTGCAGTGGGTGGAGCAAATTAAACCGTTAAGAGTAATTGTATGTTCAGACTCACTTCAGAAAACCTCAAATCAGATAATGTAAGTGAAAGGTAGGATTTTGTGTGTGAAATAGTGGTTTTGCTTCAGAGTATTCAAAATGGGGGGTCTCATGTGAGATTTGTTTGGGTACCAGCTCATGTGGGTTTGACTGGAAATAAGCAGGCAGATAAATTTGCAAAGCAGGCTTTAGGAGCAAACAACATTTCTATTCAGTGCAAAATTGCCAAATCTGAGGCCAAGTCTTTAATTAAGAGCTATGTAAAGAAGTTGTGGCAAGAAAGATGGGATAGGGGAGATAAGGGAAGAGACTTGTACTACATCAGTCCTCAAGTTTCTTGGGATGCCAAGGAGAAAGGTGTTGAAGAGAAGAGGTGATACTTACTTGGCTCTAAACAGGGCACACAGGATTAAATAAATACTTACACTTGATAGGCAAGCATGACACTGGAGATTGTGAGATATGCAGTGTACCTGAAACATAGAGCATGTCCTCATGAGCTGCATAAAGTATGACAGAGAGAGGAGTATAGCTAAAAGGAAAATTGAGGATATAGAAGAGACATTCAGTCTGAGAGGCATATTATCTTAGCCATCAGAGCACAAAGTGATTAAAATGTTACTTGACGTCTTACGAGACACAGGGCTTAGATATAGAATATAATTTCTTTTTTTTCTTTTTTTTGTGTGTAGCTTGCATGCTACTCCTTTTTTCTGCAAAGCTGAGCCATAAGAGTGATCATTTACAATGCATCCGGAGGGTGGCGGTAGTGCGCTAAGTTAGTCCGCATCCGCCGTTAAACGCTCAAAGAAGAAGAAGAAGAGGCGGAAGCAGCATTTACTGCACTTGGTCGTCATGGCGGACACAAGAGAAAAAGCGTTGCAAGACTACAGAAAGAAATTGTTGGAACACAAAGAAGTTGATGGACGATTGAAAGAATGTAATGGACTGGTTGACTTAACATTTCGGATGTAGCGAAAAAACATGTTGTTTGATTTAATCAGAAAAATGTTACTGGATAGCCAACGTCGGCTAGCTGGTCTGCTAGCTAGTGCTTTGTCATGCAGTTAGCATCTTCGTAGAAATGAATGGAAGTAAATCGGTCATCGTTAGCAGTACTAGCTTAGCTTAAGAGGAGTAGACAGCAACACTAACAAGACTGCATCTCAGTGGGATAAGTAGTTACAAAAGTCAGGTAGTGTCGTCTCTTGTAGTCATCGCTTTTATACTGCATGTCATTTGTTTACGTTGTCAAGTTTGGCCAGGTATCGCTGACATTAACAGACATTACGTGCTTTTCAATTTGACTGTAAAAAACAGTTGAATCCTTGGTTGTGATTGTTTTTTTAAGGCTATAAACAATGCAAGCTTGAAATCCTTTTTATTTTTCTAGTGAGAGAACAGCTTCGAGAACAAACTAAACAATACGAGAAATCAGAGAATGACCTGAAGGCTCTTCAAAGTGTTGGTCAGGTAAGCATGTTGTCAAATTGTTTTTCTGTATCCAGTTAGATCTCACTTCTTGGTTATAATGGCTTTAACAGGAGGGTGAAGTTTAATGTTGAAGATCCACGTGATTATAAGCAGTTAACAGACAGCTTACAGAACACTCTTGTCTCGCAATTGCTGACAATAACCATTTACAAAGTACATAAACTCTGACAAGGCAATATTATCCACATTTTTTGATTTTATTGCTTGATGCAGTAGCCACTGTGCTACGGTTGTAGATATTGTTATTTAGTTGGAAATTCATGACGACAAAATCAATTGCCACTGAGATGGTAGGTGGGCTTTGTAATTGGGTGTATAGGGCAGCAGGTATTATTTCATGTTTGGAGCTACAGAGATAAATGGCAATTTTAATAGTCTGCCAAACATTATCTCCAATTAAAATATATATTATCTAGACCCCCTCTAGCGAAAATCCAGCTTTTTACCTGGTCAACATGTCCATTTGGTGTTTTTTATGCTATATGAGAAGTCATTGCCATCGCTGAGGTTTCCTTCTGGAGAGAGCAGTGTAGCGATGACAGTCTCCAGTACGCAGACTCTTACTTCTGGGTTTTCATATGTAACAAACTTGAGGAACCAATCCTGTTAACTTGGTTACCTAGATTTTTGTTTTTCAGAGATCCAGTATCTCAAAATATGAGGGTATTTCCTAAGATCAGTCAATGATGGAAATGTCCAACTTCTGAAAAGTGTGTTCATTTATACATATATATATACTGATATGCTGCCATATATATAGATATACTGCCATCAAACCATGTATTTCTCATCTTCTGTTGAGAAAACCCCATATGTGGTTTTGTAGGGTTCAGGTCAGGTGAGTATGCATATCATGGTCAGCAAACCATTTGGTAATAATGGGCAGGTGATAAGTCCTGCTAAAAAAGGAAATCAGAATGCCCATAAAGCTTGGATAAAAATATGAAGTTGTCTTTAATTTCTTATTAGACAGCTGTGTTAAATCTGAATTTGATAAAACATGAAGGCCAGCAGATAACACAGCACCTTAAATGATCCCAGACTGTGGAAACTTCAAACTGGACTTTAGATTCTATCTATCTATCTATCTATCTATCTATCTATCTATCTATCTATCTATCTAAATTAACAATCATAAGAGTCATTGGAAACTCAACTCAAACTCTTCACAAGTGTGTATAAGCGTTTGTTAACAAAAACGCATACAGAGACATGCTAATATCATTCTCCTTGGGGGTGTTGCCTTCTGTATTATCTGAGATGTTTATCATATATCATCCGTTTTCTATATCACAATTAAAGTAAAACATTTAGCTCAGACTTTCTGTGGAAGAACAGAGAGAAAGGAACTTGTCCAGACAAACAGAATGGAAAGAATCAGGGGTTCATTTATTTTGTCTTTACTAACCACATCTCCTTCTTGCAGATTGTTGGAGAAGTGCTCAAACAACTCACTGAGGAGAAATGTAAGTTCATTGGAAAATATCCTCCATTTATATATGTCTTCTCCATGGAGATTTGTATAATGATGTTAGTCAAAATACCTAAAAGTCTACTTGATTTTTGCCGTTTCTCCACTTGTTCCTCACAGTGTCGTTTATGAAAAAAAATAAATAAATAATGTGTTAAGTAGCGTGCAAATAAGTTGCTGATATTTACAATAAAAGGAGTATTAAAAAGTCTAAGTACAGTATAAAAGTAGAAATAATAATAACAATACGCATATAGGAGAGGTTCTCCCGGTGGACCAAAAATAATTGGGTTTAAACTGCAAAGCTGAGTCATTGGAGTGTAGCGGCCAACAGTCCAAGTGATATGCCACTGCCCTTAACCGAGGCGTTATGGTGCCTCTTGCCTTTGGTGACAAAGGATCTCCTGAACTGCTCAGTCCTGCAGCGTAGAGAGATAAGCTCCTCACTGTAGCTGCTCCTCTGTCTAGCCAGGATGTTGTGAAGAGGATGGCTGGCATTGTTAAGGATGGACTGTGTGTGCATCTCTCAGCCACAGTCTTCAGTGAGTCCAAGCTCCTGCAGAGCATAGAACCAACCTTCTTCACCAGCCTGTCCAGCCAAATAGTGTTCCTCTCAGTTCTGCTGCCACCCCAACAGACCACAACATAAAAAAGAACACTATATACCAAAGGATCTTAATCTCCTGAGAAAGAGTAGCCCTTTCTGCTCCTTTGAGTGCAGTTTGGCTGACATTTTGCTCTACAGGATCACCTTGTTAGACTTGTAGACCCAGGGCTGTTTGACGTGTTTATGAGATGACAAATGGTGGAGTTATGGGCATTCAAGTGCCTGGCTGTGATCCTAACTGCTAGCATCTAGCATGACAATAGCCAGTTGTCATCTTTGTCTTGTCAAATATGGCATTATGTCATTTGAATAGCACTGGATTTTAATGTGGTCATTTAGGACCTTTTCAGACATAGGAAATGGAACATTACTGGCTTCATCGATTCGTTAAAGTGACAGCATTCTGTCATTCAGGCATAGGTCAGTTTTCCTCCAGTTTTACTCATCACTTTATGTAGAGATACCTCCCCCAATGCAGGTTAGAAACTGTGACCCTGTGTGAGAGTTCACCTGTTTTAAAGAGAGAAAAGTACACAGTGCGATTTGCTATTAGATCCCATTCGTTTCTTTGTAGGAGTAATAATTTAAACTAGTTAATAAAGTTACAGCTGTTACTCCTTGTGTAAATGCATGCAACACTCCTGTCTTTGGAGATACTCATATGGACTCTGCTTCTGTATGGTATTTAAGGTATTGAAAGGAAAGGAAATAGTCCTAAAGAGTTGGAAGCATGATTTAAATTGGCATTCTGTGTATAACAGCTAACTTGTCCGATGTGACGTTGAGTATCTGACTTGCTGTTGGATCCTTGCCCAGACTGATCTACTATCCATGCTTTGTGGAGGATAATTTATGATTCATTGAAGTTACAGGTAGTTGGGCAAATGCATGCAACTCTCCCTCTCTCTCTGAAGATGCTCATATTGATTCAATTCTTTTGCTGGCCGATGCTACAGAGGGAATAGTCCTAAACACCTGGAATAAAACAAACTTCAGTTCCTCTTACTGTCGTATGGTGGGAAAAAAAACAAAACTTGAATCAGTGTCATTTATCGAAGCTGTTCGTCTCTGTTTTTATCTTAGTGAAGTTTTATTATTATGGACATTTCATTTTGTAGCCTAATAGATTTGAAACTGTAGAGCAAAGTGAGTGAAAAAGGTGTTTTGTGATTTTTGGTACACAAATTGTGTTTTGAACTGAATTCTAAGAATGGCATTCTCAGATAGGACTTTTTTGAGTCCAAGTGGGTGAGGGCTGGATGGAAAGCAGCGAAAATGGCATCCTCTATCAACCTGTTTCACCTGTATGCAAACTGAAGCAGGTCGTGGGAGGGAGGATGGATTTGATATACTACATGACCAGCCTCTCAAAGCATTTTGTCATGATAGAAGTCAGTGCACATCATTGTAGCTGGATGGGTGGGGCTTCTTCGGGACTAGTGTTATTGTTGCAGCTTGGAGACATGGGGACAACAGCTTGACTGAGGGAGATGTTAAAAAAAAGTCAGTGAGGACATCAGTGAGCTCTTCAGCTCAGTCCTTCAAAACACGGCCAGGTATGTTGTTTGGTCCGGCTACCTTGCGTCTGTTGGTCCTGGGGAGGGTCCTCTTCACGCTGGCTGGAACCAGGCCTGCTCGTCCAGGGGAGGAGGAGTCTTCTGTGCCAGTGCAATACTCGGTCAGTGTGGTAGCATGTTAGCTCAGCTAGCTGGATAGAGGAGTCCGGGAGGTCTCAATTTTGTCAGGCACAAAGTCGCAAACAGCAGCCCTGGAAGTGGCTGCTAAGCAAGAAAGAGACACAGCAAGAAATGCTCTGGCTAGCTAAGACAGACAGACTACAGAGAGATGCACTGCAAGCGAACACATCCAGTTTGCTGTTATTACTCAAACGCAACTTGTGTACTAACTTGCTTGTAAAATCCTGATACCCAGGATACTTTCCCTTCTGGTTACCTAAGCCTTCATCATGTCAATGTGCACATGGACAGCTGGATACATCATGGATGTGCAGATGTTATTATTAAGCACCTTTCAGACATGCACTACATTCCATTAATCCAACGGTAATTTAACATTTCAGCGTCATGTCTGAATGCACACCTAAATCACATTTCTGTAAAAGTTCCGCTTTCCATATGACTGTCAACTTGGCACAAGTCTGAACTGAACCGTAGCATTAACTGGCAGGCATGCACATGCAACAGTACTTGTTAATGTGGGAAGTGTTTTAAGGAAGGATTTTTTCACATTTCTGCATCAATATTAGTTGATAACATTATAGACATGTTAAAATGGGTTGGATGCCAAAAACACCTTTTTTCCCCGCACTTTGCTCTACAATTTAAAATGTATTAGGCAACAAAATGAATGTCCATAATAATCAGACCTTACTGAAACCAGACACCAACAGCAATAATGACTGCAATCCGAGTGTTTTTCCCCACAAGTCGTGGTAGGATCTCTGAGTATCTCCAAAGACAGACAGGCAAATGCTCTTGGACTGATGGATGTGGAAATTTTAACAACAACGTCTAAGTTATTCCCAACATGGGGATCAGGATCCAAAACAAAGAATGAACTGTTTCTTTTGCCCTGACAACCAAGAAAATATCAAAATCATGACTTTAAGTAATGATTTCGACCACATTAATGTAGTAAAATGCACTCGAGTCATGGAAACATATACATTACAGCTTCTAAAAAACAAGATAAGACAGCTGCATATAATGCAATGTTTGATTTCAGATGGTTTACTATGCTCTGTTTTTGAGTAAGAAATTAATTCTTCTAATTAGTTTGCATGTAAAGATTTGTTATGGTCTTCCTCAAAAAAATTGAAGTTCTTAAAACTTTACACCATTCCACATCTGATTTCATCTTCTCTCATCAATTACCTACCAGTGCATGTTGTTACAGGTTTTCTTTCAGCAAGTGTGCCAATCTTACTAGAATATAAAGCTATATTTATGATTGCGTCCCCTTATTTGTAAATACTCATTAAATTATTATCCCTGTGCACTTTGGTAGCTTCTGTCGGTTTTATCCTGTTACTGTAGTGCACACAGAGTGCAGTTTTTTTTGTCAACAAAAAGTTTAAATCCTTAGATAACAACTTCTTAAATTTGAATATCTTCTGGGGTTTTTTCTTCTATTACAGTAAATGAATTATCTTTGGGTTATGAACAAAACCAGAGCTTTTAGAACGTTGTTTTGGGGTTTAGAAAACAACAATTGACGTCATCGTTTTTTGGAATTTTATCGACCAAACAACTAATTGATTGATTGAAATTAATCAACAGATTATTCAACAATTAAAATGATCATTTGTTGCAACCTTAGTCACATATTTCCTTATCTCTACTCTCCTCGTTTCTCCCCATCCAGCCTCTCTATTTATTCGCTCTCTGTAAAGTTTATGAAGAACCACACCTTTTGAAGCTTAGCATTCAATGACAAATAACAAATGTCAACCTGTGAACACCCTGATTTATTTTTTTTTTTAGCTTAGACATAATATGCTCATGTTTTTTGCTTTATTTCCAGTCATTGTCAAGGCCACCAATGGTCCCAGATATGTGGTTGGATGTCGTAGACAGGTAAGTGTTAAACAGATATTGGTCTATCACACATGCGATAAAGGCATAAAACCTGGTTGGGAGGTTTGGTGCAGTCAGCTGCATATTACAGTTGAATGATTTGATTTGGATCTTTCATAGATTTAATATGGGTCTTCTAGAAAAATGACAAAATCTGCTGTGTCCAAAATTTACATACAGCAATGCTAATATTTGGTTAAATGTCTCTTGTACATTTTCACCTCAACTAGGCAAAGGTAGTTCACAGTTCACGACTGTAAGTAATGGTCGAGCTGAAGATTCTGTTTGAAAATAGAGGTTCTCTGAGCATGAGTAGAAGGAATGCCAGTGCCATATTATACATTGCATTGCAACTGATAATGTTAGGTCATTGTTGGTTGTGTTTTAAATCAACTGGCAAGATTACTTTAGGCAGTTTGGGGTTTTTTAAGTTTTTGCATCAATGATGGCAGTGTATTTTTATTTTATCTGGTTTGGCACACTCATTTAGCAAAGGCATACATAAATCAACGTAAATCAAAAGAAAAGTTTCCATCTAGATATAAAATGTGCATTGTAATATGTAATATTTTTCATCCTAGTTGGACAAATCACAGCTGAAACCAGGAACCAGAGTGGCTTTGGATATGACCACACTCACCATAATGAGGTAGGGTGGATATGATCACTAGAAATATTAATACTTAGATATGGGTAAACAGTATCACGGGCTGAGTGTGGAGTGTGGACCACATTGTTTTTGTCTTTGGCAAGTGTGTTTTTACTTCATTTGTTAGCAAATGGAATGCTGTGTATTTACACTATGGTATAAGCACCAACAGCATTACAAGGTGCTGAGTGTCTATTCAAAGCTAAGCTGCAATGAAGAAAATGCATCATGGTTTGATAAAGAGTAAACCATATACGCAGCTTTAAGGATGTATTTGTATGATGTCAGCATGTGTGTCCTGTTCGTTTAAAGGTATCTGCCCAGGGAAGTGGACCCTCTGGTGTACAACATGTCCCATGAGGATCCTGGTAGCGTCTCCTACTCTGAGATTGGAGGCTTGTCTGAACAGATCCGCGAACTGAGAGAGGTATAACAAGCCCACAATAATATAATCATGCAAAGCAGACTTTTTTTTTGGGGGGGGGGGGTTGCGGTTTTTTACAATTATTATTGTTGTGCACTTTCTGCAGGCTGCATCAGCATGCTTTGTAGTATCTGGAGTTCCCAGAGGCTCCTATATATTTTATAAGCTGACATTTGGAGTGTGGACATGAAAGGATTCTATTTTAGATTACAAGGGCATCAAAATGACTACCAATGATTTTGATTATTATTTTCTGTCCATTGAGTCAAAAAACATTGCTGTTTTGTGACAGGTGATTGAACTGCCTTTGACCAACCCTGAGCTCTTTCAGAGAGTGGGGATCATCCCCCCAAAAGGCTGCCTGCTCTACGGGCCTCCAGGTTAGAATGAATGAAATTATACCTGTCTTTATAAGGCTACATCACATACCAGTGATAACGATGCTTGTTTGTCACATTTATCAGTGCATAAACATGGTTAAACTGTTATTTGTTTCTAAAAACACCAACTTTCCTAAATGTTTTATAAAATGAAACTTTATTTGGCTGCCATGGCACATAGTTGGGTCGTATGTAATGTAGTTAGTTAATTGTCTTTATCAGTTATCTCGTATTGATAATTTCTCTCTGAAACAGGCACTGGGAAGACTCTTCTTGCCAGAGCAGTAGCCAGTCAGCTTGACTGTAACTTTCTTAAGGTAAGAATCAGTACAAGCATCAAGATATATAGTCACATTGCTGTGCAGTCAGTCAGCCGGAAGTATCTGTGTGTTTGTGCTGCAGGTGGTGTCCAGCTCCATTGTGGACAAGTACATTGGTGAAAGTGCTAGGCTGATCCGAGAGATGTTCAATTATGCCAGAGACCACCAGCCTTGCATCATCTTTATGGATGAGATAGATGCCATTGGTGAGCTATGTGAAGCACTTGCTTTGTTCATCCTGGGGTTTTGTAAATTATGTTTAGTATTTATTTTACTTTTCCAATATTGCTATACTGCACATTGAAGACATGCCATTTTATTAGAGTGAGAGCTATATTTACTGCAAAGGAAAACTAGAGTATCAATGCAGCTAAAAGAAAGTAAAAAGTAAAGTTACAAAGAGAAATAAACAACAATTAAAATAAACTTAAACTTAAAATTAATGACGCAGACCAGAATAAATAAAATAAATCTGGAAGGATTTATAAATAAGACATTTTTCTCTTTTAGCTTTACATGAACACTGTGTTTCAGATACTGCACTTAAGGCTCTGAATTGTCACTAAATGTTATTTGTGTGTGCATGATGCTACCTGAAGGGGGCCGTCGTTTCTCTGAGGGAACCTCTGCTGACAGAGAAATCCAAAGGACTCTGATGGAGGTAACTGAATCACTGTAGTGTATCAGACTATTGTAAGAACAAAACATGTCACACCAGCCTCCTCTGTCATTTTCTGTGTACACCCATAAATATGCAACAATGTTAGTGTCATTTTGCGTTATTTATATGATGTAATGAGTAATAATAATGATGATTTCTTCGTTTTGGAATTGTGAGTAGACATGCATGTCAAAGTGCCTAAACAGTCAGTATGTTTAGTATGCACTATATTAGTTGTCTTGCCTAGGCTCTGTGAAAGGCCTTGCTGATGCCAGAGGTCAGAACTTTGAAGTAGATGGATACAGCAGGTGCTGGTGAGCCTTCTTGATTAGGGTTGAGGTGTTGAGGGTCCAGGGGAAGTCCTCAGAGCTGTGGGTTCCCAGAAACTTGACGCTGGAAACACACTCTGCCTAGCGTTGTGTGAGCAGTCTCTGTGTTTCTGAATTCCACATTGAGCTTTTTGGTCTTGTTAGTGTTGAGGACCAGATTGTTGGTATCGAATTTCCTCCCTGAAGGCCGTCTCATCATTGTTGTTGATGAGACCCATCACTGTTGTGCTGTCTTCAAACTTGATGATAGTGTTGGAACCATTTACAGGTGTGCAGTTGTAGGTGAACAGGGAGTAGAGGACTCAGGAAGCAACCCTGTGGGATGCCAGTCTAAGTGTAAGAGTAAGGCTCTTGGATTAGAGGTGAATTGTCTTCAAGAACCTGACAGGAAATTCCAGTTGCTTTTTACTGAAGTTCCTTCGATTACCATGACCTGAATAACTAAGAATCTACACAAGGATACCAACTTTATTATTGCAAACCTGGGCAAACTTCTTGATAGGGATTTTTAGCTTAATTAATTTTGCTATAAGATAAAACTATTAAAGTCACTGCAGTTGATAAATTATTAAAAGCAGTCGATCTTACTTTTGTTTTATGTGTTCTGTTAGCTGTTAAACCAGATGGATGGCTTTGACACGCTGCACAGAGTCAAGATGATCATGGCCACAAACAGACCTGACACCTTGGACCCCGCCTTGCTGCGGCCCGGCAGACTGGACCGCAAAATTCGTACGGTTTTTCTTTGTTGCTGTTTATCCTGTTTTTTCAGCTGTGTGAGACTGCACGCAGCACAAACTAATGTCCTTTTTTATGTTGCACAGACATCGAACTGCCCAATGAACAGGCTCGTCTGGACATCCTCAAGATCCATTCCAGCCCTATCACCAAGCATGGAGAAATAGGTTGGTGAGCAAAACTGATACCAAAATGAGTTTTCCTCTTCTTCATGTATCCTCCTGTACTGCCTCTAATTTGTTGTCATATCCTGTCATCACAATATGACTGAGACTTGATGTGCTGTTGTGCTGGTGTTATTTTAGTAATTTAGGGACTTTGCCTTATGCTAGCATCACACTCACTGATGCTCTGGAAGAGTGTCTGCTAAAGCTTCATGTGATAGCTTATTACTTAAATGCAAATGAAGCAGGTTTAGAATAAAAGTTCTTTACAAATAATAGGATTACCTCCCTCAAATGAATAAAAGTTAGGTATTAATGTCATTTGTTTTCTTTATTATGTCAGCATTATTTTTTTTCAGGTTTCATGCTCCTTTGTGAAACAACTAATCTCTTTATTCTTTGCTGGTCAGTTTTGTATACTAAGTGCACATATACTGCTGTGTAAAACAGCCGTTTCTGAATAAATTCAGAGTTGGATTTATATACATTGGGTTTTTACTGACACCATAAATTTTGAGAGTTTTCTCCCTATTGAGAATTGGGCTTTTAAAAAGAGCTATGTGTTTTTATGGTTAAATTAAGAAGGAAATAGATGTGCTGAAGTCCTTTGATGATCCCAACAGTCATAAGAAAGCATTGATTTCTGAATATTGGACATCTTAAGCAACTAACGTGAAAGCGAAACACTATTCCTGTGAACACAGCATGAGAGAATCTAAGCAGTAAATTTCCTTTGTTTGCCTGTGCACTTTCAGATTTTGAAGCTATTGTCAAGCTGTCGGATGGTTTCAACGGCGCTGATTTGAGAAATGTGTGCACAGAAGCAGGTTAGATGGTCATTCATTTTCATTATTAGCTGCAATTTCTTTGTCTAAGTTAACCATGGCAGCTCTGTTCATGTGGACCTGTGTGTTTGCAGGATTATTTGCCATCCGCTCTGACCGTGAGTACGTCACTCAGGAAGATTTCATGAAGGCTGTGCGGAAAGTGGCTGATTCAAAGAAACTGGAGTCCAAGCTGGACTACAAGCCTGTATAACCTCTTTGTCATAGTCCTTTTCTTTACCAGATATTTTTCACTGCGTTGCCATGAATTGCTGTGTTCTATGCTTTAAAGCTAGAAAAGTGTGTTTATGTTTGTGGGAAGCAATATCAGAAAATATACATTGTCCTTCCAAATGCCAACAATGACCTTCTGTCAGTAACATTAACTCTTGTCTCCACTTGTTAGTGTTTACACCAGATCAAAGTGGCTGATCGTTCTGGAATCCTACAAGTCTTGTATAAAATTGCATAATGTACTGAAATATACCATTATATCTTAAGTTCTGTGTTTTTCAGTATATTACCATTCATTCTTTTCACTTACTTAAGTGTGATGAAATTGGGCATCTCAGTGGCTGCATTGTCCAGAACTTAAGTGAACACATGCCATTTTGAGCACTCTGACCATGGAAATAGTATTTTGACAACACAAAATAAAAAGTCTTGACTCATGGTACACTTTGTAGTTTTTCCAGGGCTTTCAACTGATTTATGGACCACAACTGCATAAGAAAGCTGTTCCATTTAAAGGACAATTTGAGTCCTTTGATAAAGCTGTAGAGGGTTGAAAGCACTTGAAAATCCAGTAAGTGAATGGTCAAGATGATTATGTCTAATGAAACACTGTTTTGTTGTGAAGACAAATTATCAAAAAATTTCAGCTAAATGGCAAAAAATATTTTCATCTGTTAGTATTTTGATACGCTGCAAGGTGGTGCAGTTGGTAGCACTGTTGCCTCGCAGCAAGAAGGTTGCTGGTTCGCGTCCCGGTGGGGGCACCGGGATCTTTCTGCGTGGAGTTTGCATGTTCTCCCCATGCAGTGTGGGTTCTCTCCAAGTTCTCTGACGTCCCACAAGTCCAAAAACATGTTGAGGTTAATTGGTGATTCTAAATTGTCCGTAGGTGTGAATGTGAGTGTGCTTGGTTGTCTGTTTCTAAGTGTAGCCCTGCGATAGACAGGCGACCTGTCCAGGTGTCCCCTGCCTTTGTCCTAAGCCAGCTGGGATAGGCTCCAGCCCCCCAGCAACCCTAGTGAGGATTAAGTGGTGGATAGATAGTGGATGTATGGATGGACATTATCATACATTAAATGTATACTTAAGATTTAGTCCCGTGTAGCTAAAAATCTACAACTTGATTTAACACAATATGAAAAATTCTGGCATTATAGCAGCTTTCTGTGTAATCTGCTGATGTTTTTTTTAAAGGTTCCATATTTTGCCTGCCCCCACCCTTTTATTTAAAAAGCAAAATGATGCTAGCTTCACATGTCTTCACAGTATGTCTTTCAGTTTCTCAGTTCAAAAGGTGTTTGGTTCGTTACACCATGATTGTATAACCCCTGGATTTAGCCCTGTTCTGAACAGGCTGTTTCGGGAACTGAAGCCTTGAAAACTACTGACCTACTGTTGTGTCCGCTCCCTCCAGAAAGAACACCCTCTCTGCAAGTGTGACAGTGCTACGCATAACAGCTGACCACACATTGGCTGCAAAGTCTGGGACTTTAGGCAGAAAAAGCAGAAAGCACCTGCTTTTTCTCTGAGCGATCAAATGACAAATTCACAGCTTTTGTTTTACCGTGTATAGAATGACTTAATCAGATTATATCAGCTCTGGGGACCAGTGCAGCAGCTTGGAAATGACTATGACGTGATTACTGTTAAGCGTGTTCATGGGCAGCGTTGCAGTCACTGTTTTATACTTGTTTAATATCTGACAATAGAAACATAAAATGGTCCTTTAAAATATTGCTAGGTAAACACTTTAAAAAAAATTTAAATAGATATAAATAAAAAGAGGCAGTAACTAAGGTGAATGGCTATTGACATATAGCAGCATCAGTGAGATGATATAGCAGTAAATAAAAAAATACATTTAAGGTGCACAGTGCCTGGTGACACATGTTAACTGGAATGTTGTGTACATTAAACAGCAGTGATCAGTCAGTGTTTGAGGTTGTTTAATGTTCAAGACACTTTATTGTCATACATAAGTGGACAATGACATTAAGGTGCACAGTCAGGACACGGACTCAAAAAATAGAGAATAAATAGAATAGGTGACAATAACAATAAAACAATGTACATCACTCACACAACAACATCCAATCGGATTCACACAAAACTCTAAAACATCACATATTCACATCAGTACCAAATGTACCCAGGCCAATACAATAGGACAGTCAAATGTTCAAATATTGCACTTCCACCATCAGTGTAATTCATTGTTCAGTATGGGGTAAAAACTGTTCTGAAGTCATGTGGTGCAGGTTTTAATGGATCTGTATCTTCTGCCAGATGGCAGTAGTTCAAAGAGGTGTTGGGCAGGGTGGGAGGGGTCTTTAACCTTAAATGGGCAAGCACGTATACAATTCTTGGAAAATTAATTAATTGCTGTTTTTTAATGTATCAAGGCTAGAATAAGACACTTCCATTTTCAAAATATGATCTTTATTTTCAATTTTACACTCTGTGTCCCTGGAGATATGTTGTCTATTTAGGGTATAAATGTAAAATTTTCCATTTTTAAAAATAGTTCATTTTTTGACTTTTAAAACATGTTACAGGCAATTTAGTAGCTACTCTTTCAAATCCTGCACACAACTTTTTGAAAAATGTTGGAAAAACCTGAACAACTGATGATGAGTCACATATGTATTGAGCGCTGGAAACAAGCCTATGCCTTTTTATATTGTGTATCTGTTGCCCAGTAGTTCCCCACAGCTGGCATTTTCACTTACACCCATGATCAGCTTCATTCCAATGAATGCCTTGATTTCAGAGGCACTGGTGTTGATGCTGCTTCCGATAAGCTGATACGAATACAAGTTTGTCTGGTGAGCAATGACCTCAACGGTGTCCCTATCAAAGAATTTGGAAAAGTACATTTGTGGAAAGCTCATCTCTATTGAAAAGTAAAAATAAATAAATAAACACCCCTTCAACCCCTGCAACGTCACTGGATTTTTTACTTAACAATTCATAATAATGCTTTAATCAATCCCTGAACATCCTTCCTTGCCTTCTCTGGTTTTCTCCCTTCGCTGCCTCATCACTGGAGCTACCACTTAAATGGTGACAACTCATCTTCTTCATCTTCTGTGCTAGTTCCCTCATCTGAATCTGATGAATCATCAGGTGGCAAAACTACAGATGTCGCCACTCTTTTTATTGCAGCATAAAACATGCCCAAAGAAATTCCCAGAAAAAGTGTAAACGTCTGGTGAATTAATCAGTAACACATATTGAATAGTAAAATAAAGAGTAATCAGTATTTCACAGCTTTATATGACTGACTATACAGTGTAGTCCTTAAAACACAAGTATATCTGAGAGCGAGTATTTCTCTTTTATACCCCTATCTGGACAATGTATCCCCCAGGATACAGACATTCAATGCCTGATTATCAAAGCTGTGTAAATGTATTTCATTATTTTTAAACAACAATGCATAAAATCATCCTTAAAGAACAATATTTTATTAAAGCAAGTCCTACCAAGATATAATAAACATGAAGAATATCAGAACTTAACTCATGACCAGTGTCTTTGTCCACGTAGACTGCCATTTTGGAATTTCATGGAAACGTATCAATGTAGTTTTTAATGCTGGCATGAAGTCACATGACCTGGTACTTGACCCATCCCCCCTTAACTTTTTATTACAGAAGGAAGTGCAGATATTTAATGCCCCTCTCCCCCACAGCCTGCCAGATGTTTGTATCTCCCAGGATACAGAAACCATTTCAGGGTTATGTTGTGTGACTTCTGCAGGCAACGTGTGGTGAAGATGTTGTCCAGAGCTGGTAATTGGGAGTTGGTGATGTTCTGTGTAGCTTTTATACTGCTGCAGAGTGTTTTTGTCTGCTGCAGAGTAACTCCCGTACCATGTCAGGATGCCATGAGTCACAATACTCTCGATGGTGCTGTGGTAATAGGCCACAAGCAGGTATTGGGACAGGTTGATCTCCCTGAGTGTTCTGTAACTGCTGCTGTGCCTTTTTTTGTTTTTTACCAACATGTTGGTGTTGACAATCCATTTTAGATCTTCTGTGAAGTGGGTTCCCAAGAATTTAAAACTTCTCACCCTCTTCACCTCCTCGCCATTGATGAACAGTGGTGTGTGTACATCTTTCGTTTTCCAGAAGTCTATTATCAGTTCTTTGTTGTTGTTGTTTTTTTATGTTCAGGTTGAGGTTGTTTTCTTGTATTTCTGGGCCCACTTCAGCCTCTTAACAGTATGGTGATCACACTTAAAAGTGTGATCACCATACTGTTAAGAGATTTGTGGCTGATTCGGAGCACACATGGATTTATGCAGATAAAGGTGCAATGGGAAAGGTTTCTGCCAGACAAATACATCAGATTAAGAGAGCAGCTGCTAAAATGCCATTACAAAGCAGCAAACAGGTATTTGAAGCTGCTGGTACCACTGTAGTCCCACAAACATCAAGGTGTCGGATCCTCCAGAGGCTTGCAGTTATGCATAAACCTTCTATTCAGCCACCCCTAACCAATGATCACAAGCAGTAACGGCTGAAGTGGGCCCAGAAATACATGAAGACTAATTTTTAAACAGTCTTGTTCACTGATGAGTGCTGTGCAACCTTGGATGGTCCAAATGGATGGAGCAGTGGGTGGTTGGTGGACAGCCACCATGTCCCAACAAGGCTGCGACGTCAGCAAGGAGGTGGCGGAGTCAAATTATGGGGAGAGAGCTGGTCGGCCCCTTCAGGGTCCCTGAAGGTGTGAACATGACCTCTGAAAAGTATGTGGAGTTTCTGACTGCCCACTCTCTTCCATGGTACAAAAAGAACTGTGTTTTTCGTTACAAAATTATCTTCATGCATGACAATACACCATCTCTTGCTGCAAGGAATACCTCTGCATCATTGGCTGCTATGGGCATAAACGGAGAGATACTCATGGTGTGGTCTCCATCCTCCCCTGACCTCAATCCTATTGAGAAGCTTTGGAACATCCTCAAGCAAAAGATCTATGAGAGTGGGAGGCTGTTCACATCCAAACAGCAGCTCTGGGAGGCTATTCTGACATCCTGCAAAGAAATTCAAGCAGAAACTCTCCAAAAACTCAGAAGTTCAATGGGTGCAAGAACTGTGAAGCTTCTATCAAATAAGGGATTCTATATTAAAATGTAACTTAACCTGTTAACATGTTTCTGATTGAAATAGCTTTTGATTTCAGTAAATATGACTTCCCAAGGCTGCAAATTCATCAAATGACCATTTTCAGTTCTTTACAACCTACAAAATATTTTGGAACTCTGTTGTGTGTAATAATTTGGAACAGCACATTTTAAGTTTTTATTTTTGAAAAAAATACTGTTTTCATTGGGAGGTTGATGATTTGAAAATTATGCTGTCATTTGCATTAACTACTTAGGAAAATAAAAAAATATAATTTGCATAATAATTTGGAGCATGGTGTACTCAA